AAAAACAACAACACTTATTCCTAGCCAAGCACTAGTGGCTCACACCTGTAATCCTAGCTATTCAGGAGGCTGAGATGTGAGGATTGATGTTCAAAGCCAGCTGGGACTCTTATATCCAATAAATCCCCAGAAAACCAGAAGTGGCACTATGGCTCAAGTGGTAGAATGCTAGCCTTGAGCTGAAGAGCTGAAGGATAACACCCAGGCCTGGAGTTCAAGCCCCACGACTGACCAAAAAAAAACAAAACTTATTTCTATACCAATGAATGATATTGGTCCTTCTGCCTAATATTCCACCCCCTCCACCTGCCCTGAACAACCCCACTTCCAACAGGATGGAACCAACATCACCGGAGCATTACAAACTGTATAACAGGGATAAAACATCTCTTCCCTCATAATGCCTTATATGGGCTTAGATTTCCTTTGGGAAAATTATTCTAGAGGTTAAAAGTTATTATGTGTGGTATGTCCTATAGGCCTAGAGAAATTCTCATACAGGCTGATCAGGGAACACATCCCAATTTTCCCACAGTGTCCATATATTCGTGCACATACATGTACATGTGTCAGAGTGAGAAGCTGTGTGTCCACTGAGGAACAGATAGACGAAATGTGCCCAGATGCTCACTGTGGAATACCAGGCATCAATGAGAAGTCACACACAAGTACACACTCACAGAGATGCTGTGTCCTGATCTGGGCAGGACAGTCATAGTTTAGCTCCTTTGTCTTGGTGTAATTGTGATTTATTCATGATCATACTGTAGTTTGAACTCAGCACCTTGCTCTTGCTAGGCAAGTGCTCTACCACTTGAGCTATGCACCCACGACTCTCTCCTTTAGTTATTTTGCAGATAGAATTTCCTGTTTTTAGGCCTAGGCTAACATAGGCTTCAATCTTTCCCACATAAGAGATTCTTTTTGTTTGTTTGTTTGTTTTGGGTCCGGTCATGGGGCCTGAACTCTGGGCCTGGGTGCTGTCCCTCAGCTCTTCAGCTCAAAGCTAGCACTCTACCACTTGAGCCACAGCGCCACTTCCAGCTTTTTTCTTTTTGCTTATGTGGTGCTGGAGGAATCGAACCCAGGGCCTTGAGCATGCAAGGCAAGCGCTCTACCACTGAGCTACCTTCTCAGCCCCTCCCACATAAGAGATTCTATACTGATGTAATCATACTATTTAACAAACAATCCATATCTACATTTCTCTAATTGCCTGAAGTTTTCCCTCCAGAACTTTTTTTCTTTTTTTTGCCATTTTGAGACTTGAACTCAAGGCTTCGAGCTTTCCTTTGGATTACTTGTTTATGACTGATGCTCTACCACTTGAGCTAGGTCTCCAATTTGGCATTTTTGCTAGTTAATTAGAGAGAAAGTCTCAGGGAGTTTCTGCTTTGGATGTCTTTGAGCCTCAATCCTCACATCTCTACTGGGATCCTAAGTAACTAGGATTACAGATGTAAGTGACTAGGGCTTGGCTTTTCTGTTGTTTTGGGTTTTTTTGTTTTTTGTTTTGATTGTTGTCCTGCCTGTAATCCTCGCTGCTTAGGAGGCTGAGATCTGAGGATACCAGTTCAAAGCCAGCCCAGGCAGGAAAGTCTATGAGATTCTTATCACCAGTTAATCACCAAAGAGGTAAAAGTGGAGCACTAGTTTTGAGCAAAATAGCCCATGACAGCATAAGCTGTGAATTCAAGCCCCAGGAGTTGGGAAAAAAGAAAAAAAAGGTTTTCATCCAGGATGCAACGGATGCAAATGTATTGCATCTGATATCTGATCATTTCTTTTAATCTGCTCTCATCTACAACAATCTCTATGAGGTTTTGTTTTGTCTTCCCTTTTGGTCCTGCCTTTTAGGGCACTGACATATTTGAAAAGTCCCAGCTAATTTCTTGTAAAATGTGTCACAATCTGGATTTTTTTTCTGATTTTTCCTGGTCTTTCTTCACGAGTAGATGCAGGTAAAACATGTTTGGCCTGCTTGGCACTGCATAGATGATATGTCTACAAGGTATCTTTTTGTCCCATTATTGGTGATATTAATTTTAATTATTTCGTTAATAGAGCATCAACCAGATTACCCCATTTCAGAGAAACTTCTCTTTGTAATTAGTAAATTATCCGTGGATTAAAACTGAAGACTTTGTGGATATCTCACTACACAATTACCTTTTTCTCAATGGTTTTATTATTTATTTATGTCAGCTGTGGGGCTTGAACTCAGGGCTTAAGGGCTGTCCCTGAGCCTCTCTATGCTCAAAGCTAACCCTCTACCACTTGAGCTACAGTGACACCTCCAGGTTTTGAGTGGTTAATTGTAGATTACAGTCTTCCTGCCCAGGCTAGCTCAAACCACCATTGGATCCATGGGCCTGGGAAGATGACTCAGCAGTAGAGTGCTTGCCTCACATGCATAAGGTCGGGGCACGTAACTGTGGCTCAAGTGGTAGAGCACTAGCCTTAAGCTGAAGAGCTCAGGGACAGCGCCCAGGCTTAGAGTTCAAACCCCATGACTGACCAAAACAAACAAACAAAAAAACCCACACCATTGATCCTCAAATTTCAGCCTCCTGAGTAGCTAGGATTACAGCTGTGAGCCATCAGTGTCCATCTATCTCAATTAGGTTTTAGCATCCACTAATGATCCTTGCTTGTTATTGTAACTACCTCAGGCTCCATTCTTGACCTCAGATCTCCCATAAAGTAACCCTATACAGGAAACTTCCTCTTGGAAGTCTTTGACTGCTTTACTCCTGTCTCCAAGGAATATCAAACCAGAAATCCAACCCTAGATCCAGAAGAAGCTTTGGCAGAAACTTTCTGAACTTGGGTCAGACCCTGGATTCCCTGGCTCACATTCACAATCTCCTGGAGTGTAAGGAGAGATGCCAGACCAGCCCTAGGCCAAACTAAATCCAGGGCTTAACACAGCAGTAAAGAGAGGTGTTTCCAATTTCAGATGAGGAAACGCTGAGCCATGAAGCCTGTCTCTTGGGCAGATTCTATGGCCAGAATTATGGATGAAATGCTAAGATCCACTGAATTCATCCACCCATTCAGGCCATGTCCACCTTATTGAAGAGAAGAGCTTCAACTATACTACTTGGCTTGGAACTCCGTCATTCTCTCTGGTCCAAACTCTTTAGCCTTCTGATAGCTGGGATGATGGGAAGAGAAGAGGTTCTGGAGGCCCTAGACCTGAGTTTGAGTCCCTGCTCTTCCACTGCTGACTTCATGACCTGGGTGGGCAACCTGGCTTTGCTAAGGGTCATTTGTAAAATGTGATCCGTTGTTCTTACAGATGTTTTGGGGATCAAAGCAAATATGCATAAAACTACTGGCCCAGTGCCTGGCATGAACTACCTTCCAAGCCTGTTCTTAGCCTTGTGATTTTTTTTTACCATATGTACTTTTTATCAACTTATTGCCTCTCAGTTCTAAATCCACTTTTTTTTGCCTACTCTCTAATAAGAGTTGGGCTTTGCAAAATATTTCTCCTTTGCCAGATGACATGTGTTGAGCCTTTTCAATGTGTACTAGAGCTACACTGGGGGATGGTGGCTCTTTCTTTCCAAGTTCCAAGTTGGCTCACTGTCAAGTTGCTGGAAGGCATGTGTTCTCCACTATTTGGCCCACAATCTCTCCAGTGCTAGAAACATGCAAGGCGCATGGTTCTCCAGTTTGCCCACTACCTCTACTGTAGTATATCCATGAGCCTAGGAATTTCCTGTGTTAAAGGATCATTGTGAAAATCAAATGAGATACTCCTTCATCCAATAAATATTCATGGAGTGGAGCTGAATTCATCAGTGTCTATAACCCAACACTTGGGAAACTGTAGGATCATGAGTCCAAGCCTGGCTATTTTATAATACCCTTCCCCTCCCCCATAAAGAGATGTTATTGGGGCTGGAAGGTGGCTCAGTGGTAGAGTGCTTGCCTTACATGCATGAAGACCTGGATTTGATTCCTCAGCACCACACAAACAGAAAAAAATCCAGAAGTGGCGTTGTGACTCAAGTGGTAGAGCACTAGCCTTGAGCTGAAGAGCTGAGGGACAGCACCCAGGCCCAGAGTTCAGGCCCCATGACGGACCCAAAAAAAGAGAGAGAGAGAGAAATTATTGGGGGAGTTGGAGTCAGCGCTTTATCACTATACAAGGTTACAGACTGGTAAGAGATTCATTATTGCTGGACACAAAGCAGGCACTGACTCATTTGCAGACCCCACACACTCTGTACTCTATTGTTGCTCTGCTTAATTTATCTGCATTAATATGCAAGGTAACATATAATTACACACTAACATCTTTATGTTTAAAAAAATGTTATAGTTTCGGGGGAGGGGGGAGGCTGGGAAGGGATGGGAAGGGTAAACAAAGGAGGAGGCTGCAATGCTTGGTAAGAAATGTACGCATTATCCTGCCCATGCAATTGTAACCCCTCTGTACAGTTTGTTCACAAATAAAATAAAATAAAATTTAAAAAAATGTTATAGTTTAGAGCTTATATTTTATTTTGTTCATCTGTCTTTTCAATATCCCCTCCCCTGCACCAACATGCAGTGTTCATGATTATGGAGGCAAGCTTTTGTCTGCATTATTTACGTCAGTGTCCCCAGATGCTATGTGAATGCCCCACATATTGGAGACACCCAATAAATATTCAAGAAGCAAAGAAACAACGGACTATGTGAAGAATGCATGGATGAATAATGAACAGATTCTTAAGGATTAGGAGAGTAAGAAACCCTAGGAATGAAAAAGTAAATAAAAATAAAGCCAACTAGGACTAGAGAATTGGTCCCTGGGGGCCTCTCAGATGGACGCCGGCCATTAATGGTCCAGAGCTCCCATTTCCCGACTGCCAGCCAGTTGCTTAGCAACCGGCCACCTACCAACCACCGCCGCTAGAGGGCGAGCGGGCGGGGAGATGTGCGAGCGAGCGCGTGCGCGTGCGTGCGGGCGCGTACGGGTGTGCGCGCTGCGCGCGCCGGCGAGAGAAGCACGTCACTTCCTGTTTCTTTAGGGGAACGTGGCTTTCCCCGCAGCGCCCTTCCCTCCATCTGCGTGTCTGCCGCGGCGGCCGGAGCTGGAGACGGAGCCCGAGCGCAGCCTCGCGATGGACTCGGCCGCCAGCGAGCCACACAACGGCAGCACGGAGACCCCTAGCCCGGCCAACGGCACGGCGCGACCGCCGTCCACGCCCGAGGGCATAGCGCTGGCCTACGGCAGCCTCCTGCTCATGGCGCTGCTGCCCATCTTCTTCGGCGCCCTGCGCTCGGTGCGCTGCGCCCGCGGCAAGGTAGGGGCGGCGCCGGCCACGCCGAGCGTTTTCTACCCACTCCATCCCACCCTGCCCCACCCCACCCCACCCCACCCCCCACTTCGGATCCCACCGCCACGGACCCTTGCGAAGCTAGCCCTGCTGGGTCCTGACATCTTCCTCAGATAGGAGATGGTTTTTGTCTGCGCGCGTGCGCGTGGACCCTCACACATCCCTCTTGTCTGCCTCACGTCGCACTGGGGGACACTGTCGGCCCACCCTCACACTGCGACAGACTGCTCGGAGCCCACCGGGCCCGGGCAGACCGGCCCCACCTTCTGTGGCCGGGCCAGCAAGCAAGACATTCTCCCCTTACTGTTCCCAGCTTCCGGTCAGCCCAGTGTGGACCCGATGGACGACCTGAGAATTAAATGGCTCCCATCTTTTCTGCTCTGTCTATATGAGGCCCCGCCAGGCCCCACCCAGGGCTAATTCTGCCATCCACAGCCATCCCGAGGCATCCGTAGAATCGTGACACCTTGCTCACTCACCTACAACTCCCAGACCAGGCATTTGCCCTGCCTCAAAAACAAAACCCAGAAATCTATCCCCAGCCCAGAGCAGCCTTCCATCTTTTGTTTCAATGTCTGGAAGCCATTCCAGGCAGCTGGCTCCTCAGAAATTGACACCTGAGTCTTCTAGTTTTTAACCATAGACCCCTTCCACTGTTGATTTCCTCTTCCTAATTTGGACCTTTTCTAGCCAAATCACAGGTCCTATTCCTAACCCCTAACCCTGTTCCCAGCCTACCTCTAGCCTTACTTCATCCCACTTAAGACAATCTCTCCCAAGTTGCGTCTATCTGCATATAGAGATTGAGCCACTGCTGGCCTCTTGTGACACTGGGCTAGGCTCCTTCCTTGGCCTTCCTTGACATCTGGCCCATTGGATATTAAAAGGATTCCAGCATCTTCCACCTTTTGCCACCCTCTTCCTATCCTCCCTGTCCCTACTTCTTCCCTGTATTAAGCCCTCCATAGTCTATTGGGCCAATTGTTTTTTGCTTCCTGGCACTTTCTCCTCCACAGCCTTTTAATGTGCTGCCTGCTCCTCCCCCACCAGACCTGAAGAGGACCCAAGCAAAAGCTGCCCTTAGCCAGAGAGGGCAGGCACACAGAGCAACTACCACTTTTGAAACTCTCCAAACACTTACCCAACTTGTGCAGTGGCTTAGGGTTGCCACCTTTCATCCCAAGAGCAGAGAAGACACAAGAGTGACAGGGCTTCAACTGAGAGGCTCCCGCATGACCCATTTTTCTTTCTCTTCTGCCTCTTTTAAGTGGAATTCAGGTGGTCTCAGCCTGTCTACAAGGCCTATCAGGCATTTAGTGAAGAAAAAATTCTGAAATAGACCAGAACAAAGAGGGAGAGAGGGTGCAGCAAGGCACAAGTCTAGGCAGTCCAGTCTAAGCTGCTCCCAGACTGAGTAAATGGGTCACTCATCTTTAAAAAAAACACCTACCAGGCACCAGCACCAGTGTTGCCTGTGCTTCCACTATTACCTTGTGTTGGGGAGGTGTAAAGATGAGAAGTCAGAGCCTGGACACCCCAGGAGTAAAGATGAGAGAGGGTGACCAGGTCTGTGATTGAAATGCAAGCAGCACTGCAGGGCTGAGCAGCAGAGTAAATAGGCTTTGTGCTGGAGGCAGGTGTGAGCCATGATGGAGATGTAGAATTCCAGCCAGGAGGGGGCATTCTAAACAGAAAATAAGGAAAGCCAGAGAGATGAAAGCAATTCAGGGAACAGCTGGAGCTGGTGTGAATGGAGCAGAGATGGAATAAACAGAAGACAACCTTCACCTCTAACCATCTACCCCAGGCATCTCCTACAGGGCAGTGAGGTTGGAAGACTGAAACTACAAAGGACCTGACCACTCTGGTGGCTTTCTGCCCCCAAGTAACCAGGATATTCTCAAGTTTGTGAAACCATTACACACCCTTGGATGGTTACAGCACCTGAATGTGGCAGGCAGAGCCAGTTTTATTGTCTCTTTAATGACTTCTTTTTCTTTTTTCTCTTCTTTTTTTGGTCGTGGGGCTTGAACTCTGGGCCTGAGCAGTGTCCCTCAGCTCTTCAGCTCAAGGTGAGCACTCTACCACTTGAGCTACAGCACCACTTCCTCTAAGAATGACTTCTAAAGGGCATTCTCCCATTTTATAGTGGAACCCAGGGGTGTCTACTGCTAGACCAAAATGTTATCTTTGATATAGGTGCCTGTGGAGACCCACCCAAGTAGCATTTGGGCCAAGGAAAGGACAGGCAAAAATCATTCCCTTGTCTACCCTGAGTCATTTGACAGAAAGAGGACCCAAGAATTTAGGATTCCCACTGGTATTAGACCCAAAGCCAGCTGAGAGGTCATCTGAGGACAATTCCCCTCGGGGTCAAAGTGTCCACAACAAGAAAAACATGTGAAATCCTGGGGAGAAGGTGGAGCCTGCAGGGGGTTGGGAAGAAGTGGCCTGGGAGGGGCTCTCCATTCTGTCAGAAGAATCCCACCCAAGCACTAATTCATACAGAATGGTTCTACAGAGGAGCCCCTCAGCTAAGAGGACAGGGCATCGGCTTCTATGCCAGTCCCTGGGCTAGGCACCAGCAATGGCTAGAACAAGATACAGATGTGACTGGCTAAGTACAGTGAATTCCAACCCTCTGGAAGAGGCAGAAGATGTCTTTGCATGGATATGAGGGCAATGAGAAGTGAGATAAGAAACAAAAAGAGGGACCTGGTGACAAGATGCTCAAGGAGCTGGAAGCCTTTGTGAGGAAAAAAGAATCCTGAAGGCAGCTCAGCACTTAACCTTAGTAATGACAGAACTACTACTCACTTGTAAAATATTCAAGTGCCAGAGTTTAAAGGAAAAGCTGTGGGAGTGAGACCCCACTCAGCTGCCTGTGTGCCACCTTCCACAGCTGCTTTTTTATAGTGCTGGCTATTAAACCCAGGACTCAGATACTGGGCACATATACTTGCACTGAGTATATGTCAGCCTGTCTTCCAGAACTCTTCCTTGTGCAAATACAAACAATAGGTACATGCTCGTGAAGGTAGATGTGGGGAGACGTTTTTATAAAAGTAGATTATACAGTACTTGCTTGTCTACAGCTTGTCATTTTTCCGTGATAGGTTTATCTCCAATTACATGGAGGATGAATGACTAATGTCCTGGTTACAGAATTCAGAAGATATACTGGGGTGAAAGTATACTCCCACCCCAGCTGCCCAGCTTCCCTCTCCAGTGGCAGCCTGTCACCAGTGTCTTACGATATCCAATCCACAGGGATTCTGTACCTTTTCAAACAAATAGACGTATGCTTACCCATTTTTGCTGTATAATTTGCATGTTGTTTCTTATACACTGTTTTCTGCCCTTGCTTTTCTCACCAAATACATGTGGAAGATCCATTCCTGTCAGTTCATAAGATTTGGTCATGCCCTTTAACAGCTGTGTGGTACCTGCCATGCCCCGCAGTTTAGAGTGCTGGTTCTCAGCAGGCCCTGGACCTGCAGCCTCAGTACCCCTAGGGAACATGTGAGAAATGAAGATTCAGAATCAGACAACAGGAGTGCTCCCCCATGTTGGTAACAAACCCTTCTGGTGCATTTCATGCCACTTGATTTGGGGAGACAGACAATGGTCGACAATAGAGTTAACAGTTTCCTCAGCAAGCAGCAGAGTCCTTGCTTGTTTAGTAGCTGCATAGTACACCCTGTGGAGGTTTTCAAGCAGGCTAGTGCTGCAGACAGGTTTTTTGAGTTCTCTCCCAGCTGATGGGGGAGGGAGAGGTGAAGACAGCCTTGGGCCAACTGTGAGAAGGAGGTGATTCAGGAAATGTTCAGGAAGCAGAACTGTGGCAAGGTAAGTGACTGGAGGGCTAAGTAGAGGGGGCCCTAGGGTCTTGAGCTGGGGTGACAGGAATAGAATGGTTCAGGCATTACAGGTGGTTCCTAGGGCATGGCTTGGAAGCAGCACTCTCAGACCTCAAGCTCTGCCAATAGCTTGAAGTCAGGCATCTGTCTTCCTTTGCTTCTGCCCTGATAACTGAAGGTCCAGAAAGCTATGGTTACCTCTGCTTATATGTCAGTCTCCTCCTCCTCGCTCTTCCCCTCCTTCTCTAATTATGTTTTGTGTTTCAAGAGCTGTTTGAATTAAGTATGTTTGGTTTGGTTTAAAAGTCCAAGTTATTATGTACAGAATTTCTGTAACTTCTTTACCTTTGGGGTTCTGTTCCTCAGGAAGGTTACAAGCTTTCTGAGCATCATCTGCTCACAAGTTCCCATCAGAAATTTCCAGACATTAAGGATGGAGCTCATCTAGTAAATAGTAGCCAGGAGCTTACATAGGCTCTGCAACCAGCCTGCCTGGGTTTGAATCCTGGGTCTGCTGCTCCCATCCATGTTTCACTAAGCAAGTTACTTTATCTATGAGACTCCATTTTCATGTCTATCAAAAGTACCTGCTTCTTAGGGTTTATGAGAATGAAATCTTGTAAAGCACCCAAAGCAGTGTGTAGCACATGAAAACGTTTCAGTCAGTGATACCCTCATTACTGTCCCTGCCAGTCAGATCCCACATCTTCCATTCTGACTCAACACTGCAGCATAAGATATTTATAACAATTACCCGCAGAGACCAGATCCCTCTGCTTGGTGAAGCATCTGGCCAGCCTTGTTTGTCATCGAATATCAGACCTCTTCCTGCCTGAATAATGGGCTGCACTGAAAGAAATTTGTGGAAGTGAGTCACAGCACTGGTTTGCTGAGAAGCCACAAAGTCCTATTTTAATTTCAAGCCCTGTATTTCTATATGTACAGGTCTCTGCCTAGTAAATGCTTCACCTCCTTGTACATAAACTACTCGACTCTGTTTATCTAGCTCCTGCTCCACACCAGACCCTTTGCTGAGCTTTCAAGGCCTTACGTAGCATCTGCTCAAGTCACTTGTGACTAGAAATAGTGTTTTTTCTGCTTCCTAGTGATGCTCTTGTGTATAATACAAATAGCATGTACAGCTCGAATGATTACTCAGGTGCTAAGTGCTTCTAACGTAAATGGGAATCCTTAAAACTCATTTTGCAGCCAAGAAACTGAGGCCCTAAGAGAGAAGATCAGCATCCCAGAGTCCTACAGCTGGGCAGAAGCACAGCTGGGAGCCTGGGCCTTCTGGCCTCGGTGTGCTCTGCACTGCTGAGTGTTCCCATGAGTATTGCATTGGTATGCCTTTCTGTCTTATTTCATGTCTGCTGCACTGTACTAGACTATTCACCTGTTAAGGTCTTAGCCTACCTGCCTGGAAACACTTAGAGATCAGGAGCTGGGTAGGGATTTTTTGACCCATACCACTATATTAAGGTTCCAGAGATGCAGAAGTAAGCAGGTTCTTGCCTTATTCCTACTACCACCACCAAAAGCAGAAACCAGGAGCTGGCAGAAAAGAGGGAAGGAAACCAACCCCACAGGGCCAGTATTGTTTTCCCTCTCCCACCCTACCTCCTGGAAAAGCTGTCCCCATGACTCCTGGGGCAACAGTCTACCTTAGCCCTACACATGATAATCATAGCCTCTCACATGACTACAGAACAGCAATGAATAAGTTTCTCAGGTATAGTTCATATGCATCTTTGTGCATATGTGTAACTTCTGTCTTCAGGAAAAGTTCCCAGAAGTGGAATTGCTTGCTCAGAGGGTGTGTGTGTACATTTGTGGTTTTCATGTATATTGCCAAATTATCTCTACAAACAGACCAGTTGGCCCTTTCTTCCCCTACATCCTACCAACTTTGTTAGTAGTGTAGGATTCTTTGTACTCTGGGAGATGATAAATGGAATCTTGGTGTGTTTTAACTTGAATTACTAAAAATGAGCAGCTGAAGCTGAGCTTCAGCTTCTTGCTAGTGGCTCATATCTGTAATTCTAGCTGAGATCTGAGGATGATGGTTCAAAACTAGAATGGGCAGAAAAGCTCACAAGACTCATCTCCAGAGAACCAGCAGAAAGCTAGAAGTGGCTCAAGTGATAAAGCACTAGCCTTGAGCAAAAAAGCTCAGGGACAGCCCCTAAGCCCTGAGTTTTAAGGCCCAGGACTGGCACTTACAGTGTGGCACTTACACGGTAGGAACACTTGCTGACCCCTAAGGAATAAGGATTCTGCCTAGTATAAAAAGTATGTAAAGGGGCTGGGAAAGTGGCTCAGTGGTAGAGCACTTGTCTTGCATGCATGAGGCCCTGGGTTCGATTCCTCAGCACCACATAAACAAAAAGGAAAAAGCCGAAAGTGACACTGTGGCTCAAGTGGTAGAGCACTAGCCTTGAGCTGAAGAGCTGAGGGACAGTGCCCAGGCCCAGAGTTCAGGCCCCATGACTGGACCCCCCAAAAAAAAAGGTAAGTAAAAAGCTTTCAAGCTGGGCGTTGGTGCTTGTGTCTGTAATCCTAGCTACATAGGAGATCTGAGGATCATGGTTCAAAACCAGCCCAGGCAGGAAGGCCTGTGCGACTCTTCTCTCCAATTAACCACCAGAAAACCGGAAGTGGTGCTGTGGCTCAAGTAGTAGAGCGCTAGCCTTGAGCTGAAGAGCTGAGTGACAGCGCCCAGGCCCAGAGTTCAAGCCCCATGACCAACAAAAAGGAAAAAAAGAGCTTTCAAATACAAATTTAAACCAGGATTATACTATTACTAATGAGCTTTCATTTTAAAGTCTTTTAGCATAAAATCTGTGAAACTGGTTTAATTCTTTTTGGGGGGGGGCAGTCATGGGGCCTGAACTCTGGGCCTGGGCACTGTCCTTCAGCTCAAGGTGAGTACTACCACTTGAGCCACAGCGCCACTTCCAGTTTTCTTGTGGTTAATTGGAGATAAGAGCCTCATGGGCTTTCCTGCCCAGGCTTTGAACCCCCAGGCTTTGAACCGTGGTCTTCAGATCTCAGCCTCCTGAGTAGCTAGGATTACAGACATGAGCCACCAGCGCTGGGCTGTAATATTTTCCAACCTGGGCCGGTTTACCCCTCCTTAGGCAACCTGGTGTTCCCCCTGCTCCTGGGAGGTTACCATATTGATGCCGAACTTAGTGCAGACACCCAATCGGCATAGCACACTGCAGCCCAGAACTCCTGGATTCAAGGGATCCTTCAGGCTCAGCCTTCCGAGTAGCTGGGAGTAGCTGGGATTACAGGCACATGCCACCGCGCCCGGCTGGGCTGTAATTCTTTGAAATAGGATCTCACTTCCTCCCCCAGCCATGGGTTCTGCCTCACCCTTGAGAAAGGGTTTTGGTGAACTTTTCAGTCCAGGCTGACCTCAAACCTCATCTACCCTTCCAATCTTAGCTCCCAAGTAGCTAGGATTACAGACATGAGCCACCAGCACCTCAAAATAGTGGGGTTATTTTTGGTTACATTCAGTTCTTTTTCATGTAAATATTTATCCTCTGTCAGCTCTTTACCCACAGTCACATTCTTGCCAACTGTGACATCTGCTGTCATAAATTTAATTGTGGCTTTATTTTTACTGTACTCAAATCTCCCAGTCATATTCTTTTAAGTTTACATTTTGCTTCTTGTCTTCCTTTGTGCAATTTTAGCTTTTGTTAGTTTCGTTAGCTTATTTTAACTCTGCTTATTACTTGTTGACTGCTGTATAAAAGACTAATCATATTTCCTCCTAGCTGACGTATTAGAAAATTGGTCATGGAAGCCAGGTAAGGTGGCCCACACCTATAATCCCAGCCCGCAAGAAGATTGAGAGTTGGGGGCCAGCCTGGGTTATACAGCAAGACCCTGTCTCAAAAACAGTTCTCTTTATGAGATCAGCTGTCACAATTTCCATTGTCTCAGCTCTTCTCCACAGGTGCCCTGTACTCTAGGTTCAGATCTCAGTGGCAGAATGATGAGATGGGTGTGTCTTACCCATGGTGTAGACAAGAGAGAAAAGCATTAGCAAAATCTTTGGGGCCCAAGGCACTAAACTGGACTGGAACAGAAAGGGAAGAAAGAAAGCATCACATTCCACCACTCCCCAGCTGCGGTGGCCAGACTTGCAGCCCCAGCTCAGGGACCCTTTTGTTTTCTCCTCTAGAATTCCTCGGAGATGCCTGAAACCATCACCAGCCGGGATGCCGCCCGCTTCCCCATCATCGCCAGCTGCACACTCTTGGGGCTATACCTCTTTTTCAAAGTAAGTCATTTTTAGTTTAAATGATTTTATTTCATCTCATTTTTCACCTCACAGGAGCAATGCATGTTCCTTTATAGAACATAAAGCACTTACCTGTAGATTTGTGACCCAGGGACATCACTGTGGATGTTTGAGACCCTCCCCATCCATCGATTTCTTTTCTCATAGAGTTTTTTGTTCTGTTTTGTGGTACTGCTTTGGTTTTAGCATACTGTTTACATTGGGCTGGGGATAGCTTGTGTTAGACATACCTCTGCCATACTAATCACCTTTTTTTTTTTTTAAATTTATCGAGGTTTATTTTCCCAATAAAAGTTACACGGGCTCAGTGTTGAAATCCTGGAATACACAGAAAAGTAAAAAGGGGGAAACAGCAGTCATCCAAAGCCCCACTGGCAGATACAGTGACAGTGACAGTTTCCCCTCGGAGGTGTGTCCTTGGTGTCTCTCCCCGCTCGGTTTCTCCACACTGTGCCGCATGCTGTATTTGGTCTGTAGCTGCTTTTTTCACTTACATTGATGATACCGTGAGCATTTTCTCATGTTGCTGCAAATGCTCCACAAGCTTTTATTTTAATATAACTGTACTACTTTCTGATGATAAAAATAATATAGGCAGAAAAGTGTGTCAAGAGAATGCAGAGGTCATCATGTCCACCTTGTCACTCGACTGGTATGTCTCCTTCCAGGCTTTTAAGAAGCATGATTTTTACATAGGAATAACTACAGTATTTTCTTCTGTTTTTGTTTTTGTTTTTTGTCAGTCGTGGGGCTTGAACTCTGGGCCTGAGTGCTGTCCCTGAGTTCTTCAGGTCAAAGCGAGCCTTCTACCACTTGAGCCACAGCACCACTTCTGGTTTTCTGATGGTTTATTGGAGAAAAGAATCTTACATGCTTTCCTTCCCGGGTTGGCTTTGAACCTCAGATCTCAGCCTCCTGAGTAGCTAGCATTACAGAAGTAAGCCACTGGCACCCAGCCTCTTTGTTTTTTAAATAGTACATTACAAGCACTTTTTTCCTGGATATTGGGAATTACTCAATAATGGTTTAATTTGCATTTTCAAAGTATATGTCTATGGTTTAACTTTTTGCAAGGCTGATTAAGTATAGTGGAGTACTTGCCTAGCATGTGTGAGGCCCTGGGTTCCATTCCTAGCAACAACAACAACAACAAAAAAAGAAAGTAAAAATTTTTTAGCCTAAGGAAAGACATAGAAGAGCTATAATCCTCTCCCCAATATAGTTTGTTATGAATCTTTTTTTTTTGCCAGTTCTGGGGCTTGAATTCTAGACCTGGGCACTATCTCTGGCCTCCTTTTGCTCAAGGCTAGCACTCTACCACTTGAGCCACCACTTCTGGCTTTGTCAGTGATTAATTGGAGATAAGAGTCTCGCAGACTTTCCTGCCAAGGCTGGCTTCAAACCACAATGCTCAGATCTCAGCCTCCTGAGTTGCTAGTATTACAGGCGTGAACTACTGATGCCTAGCATGAATCTTATTCTTCAGAGTTAAGTTTAAAAGAAAAACACTAAAATTTTAAATGTGTACATCAAACCTACCCTTACCAGGGCAGTACTACCTGTATCAACATCATGAAATCTACCTGGTGTTTTTCTAACAGCTTTTCAGGGTTGTTTACGATGTATCTGAGAGTGTTTAGATGTGAAATTGTTGCATTGCCATAGTGCTGACCATGGCAGTATTGATGTGGACCTCTTTGTGCACATATTTTGATTCATGTTTCATATTTTACTCAAGTATCTCTGCAGTAGGATTGCCAAGTCAGTCTTGGCTTCTGTAATCAGACACTGCCAAATTTTGTGTGAGTGTATGTGTGTGTGTGTGTGTGGTGCTGGAATGAATCCAGGACCTCACACATGCTAATAAGCATACTCTCAGCCCCAGATAGTGCCAGATTGACCTCCAAGAAGATTGCTGTTTACATTCTCACCAATAGTTACACTTGGGCTCACTTCCTCCTGCTCTCAACATAGCTAACAGCAGCATTTTTAATTTTTACTGATCTGTGGATGAAACAAAAGCATAATTTGTAATGTCTCCTTACCTAATTTGTAATTTATAGTTGCCTCCATGCTTCATTGTTGGATCAGAAACACTTATTATGGGGAGAGGGTCCACTGTCCCTCAGCTTTTCAGCTCAAGGCTAGGGCTCTACCACCTGAGCCACAGTGCTACTTCCGGTTTTCTGGTGGTTTATTGAGATTTCTGGTGGTTTATTGAGTTTCATGGATTTCCCTGCCCATGCTGGGGCTGGCTTTGAACCACAATCCTAGATCTCATCTTCCTGAGTAGCTAGGATTACAGGCATGAGCCACTGGCGCCCGGCTCAAAAACATTCTTTTTAAGTTAGCAGTTGTGGCACATGTCTATGATCCCAGCACTTAGGAGGCAGAGGAAGAACAATTATGAGTTCCAGGCCAGCTGGGGCCAAATAGTGAGGTCCTGTCTCTAAAAGCCATTAAAGTGAAAATAATCTTTAATGTTTCCAGAATATCCTTATAAGCAGGTACACTTTAGGTGATATACAGCATCATCTTCACTTTAAGCAAAGTGTCATTACCATTTTTACTCTGCGCACTGTTCTGTTTTCTCTTTTTTTCCTGGAACTCAAGTGAATAGCTAAGTACTTCAAATGTCTTGACTCGTAGCATACCATTCTCAGACCCTGTCTTTGTTTGAACCCCTTCACTAGTAATGCCCACCTCCCTTCCCACCTTTCTTTCTCTGTTCACCAGAGATCACTGCCCCCACGTGTCTGGCATGTTGGTGTGTCTATGAGAGAGAGTTGAGCTGCCACAAGCAGTCTTATATAGCAGTCTCCCTCTGCTTCCTTTTCCTTTCCCCTGTACTCAGGTCTTTCTGCTGCTCTGCCAGCCCCTTGCTTCCGATTTGTCTTGTCACTGAATTATTCACGTTTCTCTTGTGCTGAGAGCAGGATTAATGTCCAGCCTGTCCTGAAGTCCTCTTACATGTGTAGTAACTGGTATTCTTTCCTTAGGCCAGATGCCCTCTTTTTAAAGCACTGGCTTCCTGTTTCTCAGCCTGTCCTCTCTTGGATAAGTGAGCTCCAACCGGCCTTGTGTCAAGGCCCAGTGTGTACCTCTCCCTGATGCTGTCGAGGGGCCACTTTGAGGTCCTGAAAGACAGCTGTTTAGCTGACTGCTTAAGAGAAAAAGGGGCTTTGCCTCAGCCCTTTTTTCCCTCCCACCTGGTTGGGCTAAGTCTGTAACTGCTTTGTAGACTCCTAAACTTTATATTTTCCTGATACCTTGATATCCCCATGGATAAGATTTATGCATCCTGCCCAGGCAGCCCTCTCTGCCTTTCCTTGATGATATTCAGATACAGAAGAGAAATGAGAAATTCCCCCAAAGTCTGTTATGTATTCTTTGACCCTGACTCCAATAAAAGCATCTGTCCAGAGGTCTCCCTCATATTGAGCCTTTCTGAGGTACTTTCTGGATTGTTTGAAATGTCATATTGTAAGTGGAGAGATAAGCCTTCTGTATGGTCTTTTTTTTTTTTTTGGGTCCGGTCGTGGGGCCTGAACTCTGGGCCTGGGTGCTGTCCCTCAGCTCTTCAGCTCAAGGCTAGCGCTCTATCACTTGAGCCACAGCGCCACTTCCGGCTTTTTTCTTTTTGCTTATGTGGTGCTGAGGAATCGAACCCAGGGCCTCATGCATGCAAGGCAAGGACTCTACCACTGAGCCACCTTCCCAGTCCCTGTATGGTCTTTAAGGGACATTCCAACACAGGGAGGCATGTGCACTCAATGGTCCCTGGAGACAGGGACACGCTCTTGGACAATAAGAATCCTTGAGCAGTTGTCCATGTTGGAGACCAGTGTAGAGAGCAAAGGCAGAAGGAGGGATTTCACTATGTGTTTAAACGTTGCTGGGTCACAGGTAAAAGAGGGCAAGAAGGATAGCTTGTGGCAGGAACCAGCCTAGTACTAGTCACCAGGCCATGTAGGCAGGGTGTGCCCAAGCCTTTTTTTTTTTTTTTTTTTTTGGGTCCGGTCGTGGGGCCTGAACTCTGGGCCTGGGTGCTGTCCCTCAGCTCTTCAGCTCAAGGCTAGCGCTCTATCACTTGAGCCACAGCGCCACTTCCGGCTTTTTTCTTTTTGCTTATGTGGTGCTGAGGAATCGAACCCAGGGCCTCATGCATGCAAGGCAAGCACTCTACCACTGAGCCACCTTCCCAGCCCCCCAAGCCTATTTTTAAGAACGTTGAGGCATCAGGAAAAAGTCTTGAAATTTTAATAACACGTAAATAACATTTCTCAGCCTTTTACTGCATTTGCTTTATCTCACTTCATTTAAAACAGATTGTGTTGAAACAGCTTATAAAAATTAACTCCAAACCTAAGTGTAATGAAAACCTGTAATCCCAGCATTTGAGAGGCAGAGGTGGTAGGATCAAAATTTCTTCAAGGCCAATCTGGACTATACAATTAAGACTGTCTCCAAAAAGAAAAGAATAGAAAAAATCAGTAGCATAAGAAAAAGGAGCTGTGCATGGTGGCTCACACCTGTAATCTAGCTACTCAGGAGGCTGAGATCTGAGGATCATGGTTCAAAGTCAGCCCCAGCCTGGGCAGGAAAGTCTGTGAGATTCTTGCTTCCAATAAACCACTCAGAAAATAAGAAGTGGCGCTGTGACTCAAGTGGTAGAGCTGGTAGAGCACTCACCATGAGCTGAAGAGCTGAGGCCCAGCACCTAGGCCCAGAGTTCAAGCCCCACAACCGACAAAAATAAAGAAAATTTGTCGGATGCCAGTGGCTAGCACTATAATCCTAGCTACTCAGGAGGCTGAGATCTGAGGATCATGGTTCAAAGCCAGCCTTGGCAGGAAAGTCCACGAGACTTATCTCCTGTAAACCACCAGAAAATTGGAAGTAATGCTGTAGCTCAAGTAGTAGAGCGTTTGCCTTGAGCTGGAGCGGTTAGGGACACTGCCCAGGCCCAGAGTTCAAGTCCCACAACCGACAAAAATAAATAAATAAAAAGGAAAACAGGATAGAGAAGAAAATTGCGGGCTGGGAATGTGGCTTAATGGTAGAATGCTTGCCTAGCATACATGAAGCATTCCTCAGTACCACTTAAACAGAATAAGCCAGCTGGGCACCAGTGGCTGATGCTGTAATCCTAGCTACCCAGGAGACTGAGATCTGAGGATTGTGGCTCAAAGCCAGCCTGGGCAGGGAAGTCCATAAGACTCTTACATCCAGTTAACCACCAGAAGTGTCACTGTTGCTCTAGTGGTAGAGTACTAGCCTTGAGCTGAAAAGCTGATGAATAGCACCCAGGCCCAGAGTTCAAGCCTCATAACTGACCAAAAAAAAAACAAAAACAAAACAGAAAAGGCCAGAAGTGGGGTTGTGGCTCAAGTGGTAGAATGCTAGCCTTGAGCAAATGAAGCTCAAGGATAGTGCCCAGGTGAGTTCAAATCCCAGGACTGGCAAAAAAAAAAAACTAAAATAGAATAAAACTATTCTTGGGTGAAGACCCTTATTCCAGACCATATGATCTGAAGACACATTCTTGGAGGAATGGGTCATAGTTGTGATTCCAGCTTTGTAGCAGCCAAAGCACAGAGGAGGGCAAGATTTGATGCTCAGCACACAGATCTACAGTCCCAGCAAGCAAAGCTCACATTGGGACCTGAAGAGATTTTTAATCCAGAGCCCACAATGACTTTCGTTGGTGTATAGTACATTGCCATAAATGAAATATAATCTACATGTTCACAAAATATGTGCATAAATCTTTTTCTTGTAACCTTTGCATTATCAGGCACTGATTTTCCTCATCTATTCAGTGATTCTGCATTTATTGAGTACTGTCACATCGAGCTCTGTGCTGGGGACACTGTAGGGAGAAAAGCAGTGGGTGGTCTCTGCCCCCAGGATAGAAGATGTGAAGTGGCTATAGGAGAGCTCTAGTGCCAGGAAAGCACAGAAGGACCAGCGCAGGCTGAGCCCCTCCTGCCCATACCACCAAACTAGACAGCAGTACCACCATCCACCTGCTGCTCACCCAGAGAGCCCAGGCATCTCCTTCATCCTTGCCTGTTCTCCCAGCCCCTATATATACATCCTGCACTCTGGTTCCAGAACAGATCTGGACCCTGCACTACTCATCACCCTCCACGCCACTGCCTAAGGCATCACTCTCCTCCCTGTGTTGGGTTCTGCAGGTCTTCCCTGAGCACTGTATTTATTACCACTTTTGCCATGTAGGTTCTTTTTTTTTTTTTTTTTTTGTCAGTTGTGGGGCTTGAACCCTGGGCCTGTGCACTGTCCTTCAGCTCAAGGCTAGTGCTCTACCACTTGAGCCACAGGGCCACTTCCGGTTTTCTGGTGGTTTATTGGAGATAAGAGTCTCACAGCCTTTCTGCCCGAGCTGACTTCAGATCATGATCCTCAGATCTCAGCCTCCTGAGTAGCTAGGATTACAGGCGTAAACCACTGGCACCTGGCCCATGTAAGGTCTTCTATAAGCAGAGTTCCTCTCGGACATCAGATCATGTCATAGCCTTCCTCTCAGCTGTCACTATTCCATGCACACACAAAGAAGTACCACCCCGGACCTCTGTACCTGCCCTCCCCTCTGCCTTAGGTATCACCCCCAAGAATCTTTACAACCCACTCTTCACTTATTTTAGGATTATGCTCCAATGTCCTCTTCCAGAGGTCTTCCTTGACTACCTGTTTGAAATAACTGTCCCTTTCTCTTAACTCTGCCCTGCTTGGCTTTTCTGAAGCACAATCTGATAAGACATTGTGGATCATTGGTTTGTCAGTAATTCTCCCTCCATCAAAGGCACAGGAATTCTGGGTGCAGGAACTTTGCCTAATTCCTTGCTGCATCCCAGGTGTTCAGTAAGATACCCTGCCTAAACAGTAAATGTCGGTTGAATTGGGGGAGGAGGTACACTAGAATGCCAAGAAAGCAACCTAAGGAAAACTCTGAGCTGAGAGTGGAGGAAGGATGAGTAGAAGAGACATCTCAGGGCAGCATGTGCCCAAGCTACCTGTGCATGAGTATGGCACAGACCACTATAGGGGCTAGAACTGAGCATGGCAAAAGGAAGACACTGCAGGGCTTAAACAGGACAGTGGCTAGGAACCAATGACTTACACCTGTAATCCTACTCAGGAGGTTGAGATCTGAGGATCACGGTTCAAAGCCAGCCCGGGGAAGGAAAGTCCATGAGACTCTTATCTCCAATTAACCATCAGAAAACCAGAAGTAGTGCAGCTCAAATGGTAGCGCGTTAGTCTTTGAGCTAAAGAGCTCAGGAACAGTGCCCAGACCCAGAGTTGAAGCTCCACAACTGACAAAAAAAAAACAGGACAGTGACTCTAATCAGAGTTGCTGTGTGTGTGTGTGTGTGTGTGTGTGTGTGTGTGTGTGTGTGTGTGTGTGTGTGTGTGTGTGTGTGTGTGTGTGTGTGTGTGTGATGGGCTTGAACTCAGGGCCTGGACACTCTCTGAGCTTTTGTGCTCAAAGCTAGCCTTCTACCAATTGTAACCACAGTGCCATTTCCAGCTTTTTAATCATTAATTGGAGATAAGAGACTCATTCTGCCCAGGCTGGCTTTCAACCACAAACCTCAGATCTGAACGTAGTGAGTAGCTAGGATTACAGGCATCAGTCACTGACATCCAGTGTAGGAGAGTGACATTTAAACAGATTCTGTAACAGGCCTGCTTGGAGGTAGCCAGAGTTCCTGTACAGTGTCTGAGAGCACATCTTTTCCTCCATTAAAGACCATCAGAATGTCAAATTCAGTAGAGGAGACAGCAAACATGGAATCATACAACATAACCTTGCCAATGCCCAGAATTAGCATGACCACTGCCTTAGGATGTTTCTTAATTTCATCTGGCAGTAAGAAAGGGAGCAGCAGCTGTCAGGGCCTAATATCCTGACTGCCTGCCACTGTCAAGAGGCATGCTCAGAACTGATGTGAGATGTCTTGTAATTAGCATGCTTGGAGGTTTGGTGGCTACTTTGTAGGTGCTCCCAAGATTTTTGAACAGAGAAAATGGAGGAGTGAATTCTGAGGTGCCAGCAGCTCTCTTGGATCTGTGTTTATATTTTGTCATCCCCCACAAGTACCATAAAAGACTAAGCATAAATATAATAACTATCTTCAGATGTGGAACCATGATCACAAACCTTCAGACTCCTTTGGAAGGTACATCTGGGGGCTTGGCTTGAAGGGCCACCCTTTTTTTCACAGCTGTACAAAATAGAAGGCCCCTAGTATTGCTTGACAGAATTCTTCCTGATTGTCTCCTAACTCCTGAGAGGGGACTTTGGTTTCCTCATGGCTACCAGCTCCTAACTTCCTGTTTTCTTTTTTATTTCTGCAGATATTCTCCCAGGAATACATCAACCTCTTGCTGTCCATGTATTTCTTCGTGCTGGGAATCCTGGCCCTGTCCCACACCATCAGGTCAGAAGGCCTCTCTGCAGCATTTGAAGCCACTTTCTTGGGAGCAAGTACAGGGTCTTGGATATGAACATGACCTTTGGTGTCATTGAGAGCCAGGTGTGGATCCTGGCTGTAAAATCCAAGGCAATCTTGCCCTTATGTCATACTGTAGGTGACCTCAGATGAAAATCATAACCTCTCTGGGCTACAGTTTCCACATAAGGGCTGATAGAGTACCCAGCTGGAGAGTTGCTTGTGAAGAGTATTGTCCTGGTAGTTGGCATAGCACTAGAGGAGGGACGCCAGTGCACTAGGCTCAAGTCTTCACATACCATCTTTTCTCTTAATCAGAGGCACAGTGTGGGAAGCAGGAGTGCAGGCACTGAGAAATTTGACTGCCTGACTTTGGATCCTAACTCTGCCACTTACTAGCCCTGTAACCTTGGGCAAGTTACTTAATCTCTCTGAATGTGAAGAAAATAATAGTACTTCTCTGCTAGGGTAATGTGGAAAACTTTTTGTGGTCAGTCATAGGGCTTGAACTCTGGGCCTAGGTGCTGTCCCTCAGCTCTTCAGCTCAAGGCTAATGCTACCACTTGAGCAACAGCACCACTTCCAGTTTTCTGGTGGTTAAATGGAGATAAGAGTCTCCTGGACTTTCCTGCCCAGACTGGCTTTGAATTGTGATCCTCAGATCTCAGCCTCCTGAGTAGCTACGATTACAAGTGTGTGCTACCGGCTCCCAGCCTAATGTGGAAAACTTTTAACATGGTATCCTACACTTACTATGTTCAACAATTTTTTTCAGTACCAGGGTTGCACTTAAGAGACTCCTACTTTTATGAGATGCTTGCTTAGCTGGTGCTCTACTACTTGATCCATGCCTTCAGCTCTGCTTTCTGCTGGATATTTTGGAGACAGTCTTTGAGACTTTTGCCTACGTTGGCTTTGAACTATGATCCTCTGGATCTCAGATTCCTGGGTAGCTAAGATTACAGGCATGAGACATGAGCACCTGGCATCTTGCATATTCTTATAGCTTTTATCTGTGCTAACCTGCCACATAATCATCTATGGTTAGTTTTTGCTTTTAATCCTGAGTTGTAGTCAGGGAAACTGAAGCACAGAGAGGTTAAGAAGTTACTAGGATCACAGAGATGGTAAGTAACAGAACCAGAATTTAAACTCAGGTCTGTGTGACCCAGAGGGGGCTACTATTGACTTTCTATCCTGTGCACTGCAAACCCTCAACATCCTTGTACTACCCACCACATGGGGGACAAGTTGTGCCCAAGCTTGTGTTTACAAAGATGTCTCAATATGTTTCAACTTTCCCCTTGCAGTGATTAGCCATAGGCTGAGAACCACTAATAGGGAGGTGGCCAGCAGACCAGGAATACTCCCAGAAGGGAACTTGACTTCAACTCCAAAGGGTGGAAACCTGGAAGAGATCAGGCCAAGAGTTTAATAGTCCCTGCATATAAGTGATCACTATCAGCCTTTTCCCAGTGCAGTCAAAGAAAGCACTAGAGAGAAAGAACAGAAATTTCCCTCGGCGACAGTGAACACCATGGAGAGTATGGCCCATTCCTCAAGGCATAGTGGCAGGATGGGGTGGTTAGAGCATAGTTTTGAGGGGCAGCCTGGGACCAAGGCCTGGTTCTACCAGCTTTGCAATTTGCAGAGGTTACTCAAGCTTATCTGAGCATCAGTTTTCTAAGCTACAGAAAGAACCTCACAGAAAAACAAGCATCAAATGAGCCTCTGTGTGCAGTGTCCTTAAAACCATGGCAGGCTACAGTGAGTCCCGTGCTAGCCTGAGCTTACATCTTGGGACACCACTCCGGTCTTTGGACTGATCTAGTACTATCTTCTCCTACCCTGAGCCTTAACCTACAAGGTCTTATTCTAGCCACATTGAGAGGTGTTTTGTTTTGTTTTGGTTGGTTGGTGGTGGGGCCTGAACTCTGGGCCTAGGCGCTGGCCCTCAGCTCTTCAGCTCTCCCACTTGAGCCATGGTGCCACTTCCAGCTTTTTCTGCTTATGTGGTGCTGAAGAATTGAACCCAGGGCCTCATGCATGCAAGGCAAGCACTCTACCCACTAAGCCACTTTCCCAGACTCATCTTGAGAGAATTCTTATCCAGCTCCCTAGTCTGAAATGTGGAGGCTTAGAGAACCGGCAGTAAAGGCTGCACTCATGAGGACCTATGGCAGGGATGGAAAGAGTCACTCGACTCCATCCTAGGCTGATGAAGACCCAGCCCGCCCCACCTGCGAGCCTGGCCCATCCTACCCCACATTGTTTGAAAGTCACAGATGGGCCATATGCTAAGGAATTATTATGTTACTTTATCTTAGCAACCCTTCAAAGAGATGTTATCTCGATCCAACTCCCACACCAGATATATTGAACGATTGTCTCCTAACCAATTTGGAATTTTTCATGATAGATATCAACAGAAAATAAAAACTAACAGTAGCTTAGGGATGTAGCTTGGTGATAGAGAACTTACCTTGTAAGTTTTAATCCCTGGGCTTGATCCTTCCTTGGCACTCAAAAAATAAAAAAGAATGGAATAAATAAAAAATGGAATAAAAAGTAAAAATTGTTAACTAGAAACTATAAATAATGAAAATGAGTGTCATATCCATCCTAATATAATTTAGAGCAGTAATGAGATATTATGTCTTATAAGCCCAGCAACTCAAGAGGCTGACAGCCAGCAGTGGTGGCTCGCTCCTGTAATCCTATCTATTCATGAAGCTGAGATCTGAGGATCATGGTTCAAAGCCAGCCCAGGCAGGAAAGTCCATGAGATTCTTATCTGGTTAACCACCAAAGGCCAGAAGTAGAGCTATGATTTAGTAGTAGAACTCCAGTCTTGACAGAAAAAGCTCAGGGATAGCATATCCAACCAGACCCTGAGTACAAACCCTTGTACTAATCCTCCTTCCCCGCCCCCCCCCAAAAAAAACAATAGATTTAGGTATAATAAAAGAAAGCTTGAAGCTCCACTTCCTGCTTTTCGGTAGTTTATTGGAAATAAAGAGTCACAAACTTCAAACCACAGTCCTCAGGTCTTAGCATCCTAAGTAGCTATGATTATAGGTGTGAATCACCAGTATCTGGCTCAATTTTTTGTTTGATTTTTTTACTTATAGCAACAAAATTTGACCTAAGAAAATTAGAGCTAGCTGGGCACCAGTGGCTCATGCCTGTAATCCTAGCTACTCAGGAGGTTGAGATCTGAGGATCACGGTTCAAAGCCAGCCGGGGCAGGAAAGTCCGTGAGACTCTTATCTCCAGTAAACCACTAGAAAACCGGAAGTGGCACTGTAGCTCAAGTGGTAGAGTGCTTGCCTTGAGCTGAAGAGCACAGGAATAGCAACAGAGTTCAAGCCCCACGTCTGACAAAGAAAATTAGAGCTTGTAAAAATACTAGGTAGCTATGGACAGAGGTGTGCTCACCATACAGAACAGTCAGAGCAGCATATGGAGAAAAATTTGGTAGACAAAAACTGCCAAGTGAATGAAATTATTGTTTGTATGTAAAAGAACTACATGCTCTAAAGATAATTTTACTACAAAGAGAAATATAATTTAATTGTGGGGGAGGAGGGTTATAGAGAATTTACCTAACAATTAAACTGACTCTTGTTCAGTTGAATTGAGTTTTCTTTAATACCTCCTCAAAGAAAATTACGGGATTGGAATTTCCATGAGATTTATATATCCACAAACTTAAGAGTCAGATGTTCTTCCAGGTCTATACAACAGTGGTCCAAAGGTGTGAGATGGAGAAAATTGAGGTTTGGAAGGGTTATGTGACTGCCAGGAGCCACAGATAGCAATGGCAGAGTGAGGTTTTGAGCCCAGGCTGCCAAAAGTCTGTAGGAGCTGAGCCCACCAGCCCACCGGCCCCAGCTGTGATTTTCTCAGATCTCTGCACCTTCGCTACCATCCCACTGCCTACGTCAATACTCTGAGAACAAACCATAGCTTATAGTATTGGGGGTGAGGCTATGAGCTGCCGTTATCTTTTGTACAGTCCCCAAAACTCAAGTCCAACCAGACCCCAGATATCCTCCTGCCAGCAGAGCCTTGGCTTATTTTTATCACCTTTGACAGTTCCTGTCCTGTGCAGCTGACCCTTGGAGGACAGAGGCCCAAAGCTGCCACCCCAGGAGGAGGAGGCCACGTCATCAGTTTCACTAACTCTTACCATCCACCCCCAGAGAAGAAGGGTACCTGGGTAGTTACTTAGAAATCACAGGCCTTGTTTGACAGGAGCCATCAAAGGCTCTCTGCTTACTGCAAAAATGCATTGAGATTTGTTCAGCAAGCATTTACCATTTACCACCTGGTTACCATGCCTAGCATGGATGGCAGGAAGATAAGGAGATAGGAGCCACTGCTCAGAATCACAACTGCCATGTGTCTCTTCTTATGTTATATACAGCCTCTCTTTCCTCCAGAACAGACACCAGTCTGTTCAGTGTGGTATTGTACATCTATAGTCTTCTCTACTCAGAAAGCTAAGGCAGGAGGATCACAAGCTTGAGATGTATCTGGGAAATTTAGTGAGACTCTCAAAATTTTTAAAAGGCTAGTATACCTCAGAGATAAGACACAGGCTTAGCATAGACCAGGACCTGCATTCCCTCACCAGCACAAAGAAATGACAGTTGAGAAAAATGGAAGCTGCACTTAAGTTCAGAAGATGCACTTACTTAATCCTGTAAATAGTCCCCTGAGAAAGGAGTTACTTAGTGGTCCAGTTGCACCGTAGATCATGCCTTTAATAGAGCTGTAATTTGAGCCTATGAAGTCTGGCTCAAAGCCATATTCTTAACCAGCATGCTATGCTGGTGAGAAGCAGAACATGAAGTTCCTAAGGAAGAGGCCAGGCTGGGTGAAGGCCTTATTAGCTCCTCTTGAGCCACCTCCCTGCCTCTGCCCATAACTACACATACCCCAGCTTCAGACTTCCCCAAAGGCACCTCTCATCCATACCAGCTTCTGCCTCCCACATCGTTGGATAGAAGCCCATTTCTGATTCCAGCCCCCTATCTACCACATCTGCCCACAAGGCCTCTCAATATTCATACTGCAACCCAATCCTCCAAGCTACAAGCAATTGGTTCTGGAACAAATGGGGAACCTGAGATCCAGAAATAGTTCTTTAGTCCACATCTTTCTCCAAGACACCAAAATATTAGAGAACTCTTGTCCACATGTCTTAATTACTGTGACCTGGACATATCTAGGCTGCCTCGGTTTACCTTTAGTTGGGAGAACAGTTATGTTTTCAAGCCTAGCCTCTAGAAACTGCACTATACAAAAGCTTACAGTTCTCACATATCCCTGTTGCAGGCCCAGCACTTGAGCTGAACATCTCTTCTGCCTTTTCATCTTTACACAATCCTTTGTCCTTACAAACTAGTGGGAAGGCTGAAACCAAGACTTGGAATTCCTGACTCTGCCATACTAACTCTCTCTGCCTCTGTTTTTGCGTATATTTGGTGGGAACAGGCATTACAAAATTCACTAGGAGAGCTGGGTACCAGTGGCTTAGGCCTGTAATACTAGTTACTCAGGAGTGTGAGACCTGAGGATTGTGGTTCAAAGCCAGCCCAGGCAAAAAAAATCCATGAGACTCATCTCTAATTTCCATGGGAAGTGGTGCTGTGACTCAAAGTGGTAGAGCTTTAGCCTTGAGCAAAAGCACTCAGGGACAACACCCAGGCCCAGAGTTCAAGCCCCAGGACCAAGCAAAAAAAAAAAAAATCACCAGGAGTTCAGAGAACCAGGTTTGAACCTCAGGACAGCTACTTTATCACCCTGAGCAAGTCATTTTATAAGAACCTTTGTCTATAGACTAGGAAAAATGCCAGGAACCTGTGGCTCACACCTGTAATCCTAGCTTCTCAGAAAGCTTAGATCTGAGAGCTGCAGTTTGAAACCAGCCTGGGTAGGAAAGGCTATGAGACTTTTTTATCTCTGATTAACCAGCCAGAAACCCTCAGTGGAGCAGTGGCTCAAGTGATAGAACACTAGTCTTGAGCAAAACAGCTCAAGGACAGAATCCAGTCCCTAGGACTAGAAAAAGAAAAATTAACACCTACCTATCTGTGGAGCTGAGGGTGTCAAGATGTAACAGCAGTAAATGGGTGTTGAGGGTTATATTAGAGCTATTATTCCCAGGGGGCTCTGTTTGCCAACTTGCTTTGTCTTTCCTTCTAGCCCCCTCATGAATAAGTTTTTTCCAGCCAGCTTCCCAAACCGACAGTATCAGCTGCTCTTCACTCAGGGCTCTGGGGAAAACAAGGAAGGTCAGTGTTACCCACTTTCCCCTATGGTGTTTTGGGTTTCCCAGTTGTCTCCCCAATACTGGATTCTCCCAATAGAGAAAATGATGAAAGTGGGCTCCAGGATATCTTTCCCTGGGTTCATATCCAGCTCTGCCACACTTAAAACAGGACTCTGGGTGGATGGCTTATCTCTCTGAGCATTAGAATGGTTTTGTTGGGGCTTTTTCCCCCCATCTGAAAAACGCAAATCAAGCACCTTCTTCATAGAAGACCTTTTGGCTCCGTTAGGACACAGTACATAATGAAAAACACCCAGCACACTGCCTGGCTCATAAAAGTACTCAACTAAACACTGCTGTCAATCAGGTTTTATGGTGTCTGTTTTTGTGTGATAAATATTCAACCGGAGACTTGGAAGAGGGATTCGACGGCTTTTTTTTCTTTAGCCATAGAGGGTTCCGGGGAGCCTAGGAATAGCGGATTGTCATGTGGGTCCGAATATGGACTCAAGATTATCAGTAGCGTGACCAAATGGAAGCTGTAGCCCCGTTCCTAACGGTCGTAAGCCGTGGGATGCGTCCCCCTGCTGGCACCAGGCCCCTCGGCCGCGTCGGAGAAGCAGCGCTGTTAAGGAATCCTGTACCTCCAGTGCACACATACCGAATAAACCATTTCTGGATTTTTTTTTAAGGCTAAGCATTTTTTTTTAAGAGACCAGAGTCTCGGGGTCCGGACCACATCGGTCCCAGCTCTGCCTTGCTCGGGTGGCCCTCGGGTCCGGGATGGCGACCATCGCTCCACTGTCCAGCCGGAGACATTGAAATATCCCCGCCACGGGCCCCTTTAGCGACCGGGGGGTGCTGGGAAACGCGGCCGAGAGCGGTCCGTGAGCGAACGGTCCACGAGCGAGTGTCCAGCCAGAGCGCCGGCCGACGCCCCGCCCCAGACCCCGCTTCCGGCGATGACGGAGCCGCTCTGCCCCTCTTCCTGCCCGTGGCCCGCCCTTTCCGCTGCCCCCGTGCCCAGGAATAGGAAGCCAGAAGATCCGGAAGTGGGGGGAAAAGCGGACGGGGTGCTGACGTGATGCTCGGGAAACGGAAGTGGTCATATTTTGCGCGGCCGTAAAGCGCAGCCGGCTGGACCACTTTCCGGTTGACGACAACGGCCCGACCGCGTCCTTCGGTGCCGGCCTTCCTCGAGTGCGGAGCTTCCCGGGCTCTCCCCGTCACCGGTTCAAGTTTCGCGTGTGCCCGTCCCGGTTGGCGCCCTTCACCCGAGGATCATGTTCAAGAAATTTGACGAAAAGGAAGATGTATCCAACTGTATCCAGCTGAAGACGTCGGTTATTAAGGGTATCAAGAGCCAACTGACCGAGCAGTTTCCAGGTATTGAGCCGTGGCTTAATCAAATCATGCCCAAGAAAGATCCCGTTAAGATAGTCCGGTGCCATGAACATACGGAAATCCTTACGGTAAATGGAGAGTTGCTGTTTTTCAGACAAAGAAAGGGACCTTTTTATCCAACCCTCAGGTTACTTCACAAATACCCTTTTATCCTGCCACATCAGCAAGTTGATAAAGGAGCCATCAAATTCGTGCTCAGTGGCGCAAATATCATGTGTCCGGGTTTAACTTCTCGTGGAGCGAAGCTTTACCCTGCTGCAGTAGATACCATTGTGGCGGTCATGGCAGAAGGAAAGCAGCACGCTCTGTGTGTCGGAGTCATGAAGATGGCTGCAGAGGACATTGAGAAGGTCAACAAAGGAATTGGCATTGAAAATATCCATTATTTAAATGATGGTCTATGGCACATGAAGACATATAAGTGAGCCGTAGAAGGAATGTACTTGGGTTAAATATAGATAATTGTGTTTGTATACGTGTTTGTGTCTGTGTGTGACAGCATGAAAACAGTGCCTCTGTAGTTATGCTGAATAAACTCAACATACGCCTTTAAAAAAAAAAAAAAAACACCCAGGGTCCTGCTACCACAGCAGAGAATTGAAATTGGGGGAAAATTGTAGTTATCTGCTATACTCTGGAATCAGACTGGAGTGGCTACTGCTCTGTGAACCTGGGCAGCCTCCATCGTTTCTCCTGGCTTACTTGTTAGAAAGCTTAGAATCATCAAGAATGGGTCAAACATCAGGATGCGTGCCACAGGGGTCCCCACAAGACCAACCTCAGGCCTGTTCCTGCCTTTTTTTCCTAGGCTTGTGTCACTACCCTCTTCTTCCTCTTCTATTGAACAAGAATTGCCAGCAACCTTCAATTCCTTTAGTGGCAAAAAGATTCCAGAAAGAACTAGGACCTTGTTAAAGACCTGAGTTCAATGTGCCAGGCACTGTGCTGAGGGCATTATAAGGACCTTCACTTCCCCTAGCAGCTCTGTGAGGGAGGTGCTGTTGCCGTTCTGACAAATGAGAAAACTGTAACTCAGAGAGGGAACTGTCTCCCCCAGAGTCTCCCAGCTAAAAGCGGCAGAGCCTATATTTCCAATACTAGGGACCGCCTTCTTCTGACTCTCAATTTTCTCTGGATCTCAGTTCCCTCTTCTAAAAAATTAGAGGGGTTGGGATAGCTCTGATGGGCTCTTCCCATCCTAATACCCCCACCAAACTGGAGAAATCAAGGCTGAACCCCTGGGCCTCTGGGCTTCTGACCATGACCATAGACATGCCCTCCTCTATCCGGGGGCTGACAGGTGGGAGGGACAGCTCCACACTGGGGAGTGAACTTACCCAGCCTCTCTGCCCAGATATTGTCAACTATGAGTTTGACACTAAGGACCTGATATGCCTGGGCCTAAGCAGCATTGTTGGTGTGTGGTATCTGCTGAGGAAGGTAAGTAGCCAGCGCTTGTGTACAAGAGCCGGTAAGGGTGGCAGGGGAGGCAGCGTGTGGGCAGGGCAAAGTACAGTGAGCTAGGTCTAACTTCTGTTTTTCTCCAGCACTGGATTGCCAACAACCTGTTTGGCCTGGCCTTCTCCCTCAATGGAGTGGAGCTCCTGCACCTGAACAACGTCAGCACTGGCTGCATCCTGCTGGGTGGACTCTTCATCTACGATGTCTTCTGGGTAAGTCAAGCGGGAATTCCAGAGATGTCCATCTCTAGCCTCCCAGCCCCTCTTTCTTACTCCCTAATCTCTGGCCCAAGTAATAGTCATCTAAGGGAAATCAGGTCCCCTCTGGGTGGGCCCATCTGTAAAATGGAGCCAGAGAAAGCAAACTACCTATGACTGAGAGCCCATGCAGTACCTAGTGCCTCTGTCTACCCTCATGTCATTTTGATGGCTCTCAAATAGTAATCTCTAGGGGGCTGGGAAGGTGGCTCAGTGGTAGAGTACTTGCCTTGCATGCATGAGGCCCTGGGTTCGATTCCTCAGCACCACATAAGCAGAAAAAGCTGGAAGTGGTGCTG